CGGGACGGGGCGCTGGCCCCGCAGGGTGGCCCGAGGTGCGGCCTGCGCAGGCAACTGACAGTAGACAGTCCAGACTCGGCAGAGGAGGGCGTGCCTGGGTGAAAACCTTCTCGACGCACCCCCGTCTACCAGCGGCCCCCCCCCGCGTCGAAGACGCCCGCCCCGCGCGGGTATTAGGCAGCGCGCGATGGGCAACTGGGCGCACGTGTTGTGCTGCGTTTTGCGCTACACTTGCACGTTCGACGACCCGCAAAGGCATTTGCATGCGACCGGAGTGCGACACTCCGCGCCGCGCCGCGCTGGGCACGACAGCCTAGGTCAGCCCCTCGCCACGCCTTTGCAGTGCGCATTTCTGGAACACCCCGTAGCATGCCAAGTTGCACCGCAGCAGGATATGTAAATGGCGGGTGCTCTGCGATGCTCTCCGCGTCACCTCGCTGCGTCCGAGATCACTGTGCATTAAGGTTACTGTTTCGGCAAGGGGCAGTCTGAAGGAGGCGTTGCGCAAAAATGCTTTGCGCGTCGCTGCTCTTCATAGCACTGATGCGCTAGAGCATGCAATGAACAGTCGGCAGTCGGCAATATGGAACTGCTAGTGCGCATCAGGTGGATGCACGTCGTTGCACTGGACTGGGTTGCGCGTGGGAACCGGCTGACAAGAGCCATTCGTCCACGGGCCAACGTAGCCGGTGACCAGTTAGCAAAACCAAAACAGTTGCGCAGCTCTGTGAGACATGACACTAGCGCTGCTAAGTGACAGGCAGTGAGCTCCTTTAAACAGCCATCTTGCATCTTGCAATCACAAATGCCCAGCGAGCGAGTAGTATGCGGCGCACTGCGCTGCGTGACGATGTAGTGCGCAGTGCTGCGTTGCATAGGCTACCCAGCAAAATAGGCAACGGACTCTGATCGGTTGCGCCAAATTTACCACGATGTAGTGCCTTTGATAGAGTGTAGCAGAAGCAGGTGGCACAGCAGATCCCGTCGTATTGTAGCGCATTGCGTTGCATTGGTTGCTTTTTGCGTGCTAGACAGCAGTTCGAAGGGTGCAAGTACGGAGCAGACGCAGCAGTGGGCCAGTTGCCAAGTGCGCTACGCAGCATTATCTGGATATGATGGCAGGGAGTGCGCCGAGATGTTGTCCTGAAGTGCGCCGTGCAGTGGCTAATCAGGTAGCACGTAGCAGCTAGGATAGCGCGGGCACCAAGCACTGTAAGTGGGGGGGATTTAGTTCGCTTGCAGCCCCACGACGAAGCTCCTTTCGCCAAGCAGTAACCATGAATTCGGCAATGCGGCCGTCAGATTCTGTTGGATCTGGCAGAGTATTCGACTGACAAGCCCGTGCGAGTAAGTTTCTCTAGCGTGGTGCCGCCGGGGGGGGCCAGGCTGGCTGGGCTTGTTGGCACCGTTTGTTCTTGACCTCACTGGGTTGCCAAATCTACCGACATCAACAAAGCCTTGACACTGCGACGGTTCTTAACCGATCCAGAGCACGCGACATTCATCTCAGCGCCGCCTTCACCATCGCAGTGGTCTTCGCAATACGGTCCTGTGCTCTGGACCATGTATGGAAGGCGCACGTACGTTAGTTAGTTAGTTAGTTAGTTAGTTAGTTAGTTAGTTAGTTAGTTAGTTAGTTAGTTAGTTAGTTATATATATATACACATAGATATACACCTATCATATCAAATATACGCAGGGATCGGGTGAACGGACGCCAATGCTGTAGAGACACGCGCACGTGCTTCGGGCGGCGGGAGGGCTATGGAGGAGTCATGCTGGTCCTAAGTCGGTTTGGGTCTTGCTCCCCCTGGCCCTCGCGCCATCCCACGCCGGACGGCTTGATGTGCTGCAGAGCAGAAAAGGCGACCCCACCGAGTTTGCTCTCCCAGACTGCTGCCCAGGCCTCGGAAGCCTCGTGGCGAGACTCGACCAATCCAGCCGCGCGAGGAACGTGGATCAGTGATCCCCGGACGAGGAGCACTGTTCGGCGGCGAGCGAGGGAAGCGAAGTGAGAAGGAGAAGGCCATGTCAGAAGGCGGCGGAACTTCTTAGAAGCCCTCGCGCCTTCTGAGAAGTTGTTTGCGTCGTCAGGGACAGCTTCGAAAACTTTTCGGAAGGCCGGGGGACTTCCGAGCCTTCTGAGAAGGTCCGCCCCTTCTCACTTCCCGCCTTGCCCGCCGCCAAACTGCATATCATAATGTTAAGCAGTTCTGTCTCAGCGTGAAGCACCGCTGCGATGGAGCAACTCCCGACGCAAGGCTTGAAGCAACACGGCAAACGGGGCAGGCGGATCGCGAGAGCGGGAGGCAGAGGCGGCATGGGGCGCAGAACACGGCCAGGGGAGCAGGACGACCGCCCGCGGAAGAAGCAGGACGGCACGGCGGCGGAGCACCAAGAGCACGAGGAGAGGACCGTGACAGACGACAGATGAAACCGCGAGCATCGGGGGCGTCCAAGAGGGGGGGGGTATCATTGGCGGGGGCGATGTCATGGCGAGGGCCACGACGTCTCCCCAGAGCTCATGGCCCCCCTCCTCGTCTTTCAGCACGCTCTCTGGCTCCCGCTTCGTCCGCGCACATGCCTCGGGCCATGCTTTGCGACCCCCCCTCTTGGACGCCCCCCGAGAGCAGCAAGCCAGAAAGCAACCAAAGCCAAGGCAAAGCAAGACGGAGGGGGAGAGAGCAACGGGGGAGAGGGGCGACGGGCGGGGAGAGAGGCCTCCAGGGGAGCTTCCGGGGGAACTCCCAAGACTTTCCAGAGAGCTCCCAGGGAGACTTCCAGGGGCCTCAGGGAGCCTCAAAGGGCTTCCCAGGACTGTCGGGCTTGTGATGGAAGGGAGGGGGAGGGAGGGAGGGAGAGGGAGAGGGAGGGGGAGAGGGAGAGGGGGGGAGGGAGAGGGAGGGAAAGGGAGAGGGAGAGGGAGAGGGAGAGGGAGAGGGAGAGGGAGGGAGAGTTTCCCCCCCCCCCATGCTAAGGGGGAGGGAGGGAGAGGGAGAGGGAGAGGGTCCACGGAGCCTGCAGGGGACACCTTCGGAGCCTCCGGGAGCCTCCGTGCAGGTTCCTGGAGTCTTTCGGGAGGCCTCCGGCATCTTGGAGGAGGCTTTCGGGAAGCTCCACGGAGCCTTCCACTGGTCTCCAGGGGCCTCGGGGCTCTCCAGGGGCTCTCCAGGAGTTCCGTAGATGAGCAGTGACCTGTCTTTCCCGCGTGCTGCTTCCCAACCTCCAAGAGACTTCGAGGCCTTTGAGCACACATGGTCCAGGCAGCTCCAGAAGGGAGGCTCCCAGGTGCTTCTGGATTTCTCAGCGTGAAGGCCTCGAGCTTCCTCGAAGCGCTTTCGGCGGAGGGTCCACCAAACGACATAGGCACCCGCCGCGGGAGCGTTTATGTGCACTTCGTTCTGTACTGCCAGTTCGCCAACTCTCCTCGAGGGGGGCAGCGGGGCGAGTCAAAAAGAAGGTGCGGGAACCGTGCCGGCTGCCTGGATGGGGCCAGAGTGCAGTGCCGTTTTTAAGACATGCTCCGCGTGCGGATCATGCATTGAAAATAAAGGGTTGATTGATAAATACAAGGATGAGTTTATGCATTATTTTATTCATAACTTAATCATGTATTTAAATTCCTGTATATTAAAAATCCCATGTATTAAAACCTGCCCTGTGGATAGTGTCGGAGCATCGTGCCGCATCGCTGATGCTTCGCGGTGCAGTGCGATCGAGGGCCCGATTTTCTCCATCCCAACGTTAGGGGAACAAAAAGTGACATAAACATAACAACTCGGAGGTCCGCGCGGATTTCTCGGATCGGCGCTGGATCCCCCTCCCTGGCGCGCGGAGCGTGCCAGGGGCGGCGCCGGAGGCGCCGCCGGGGGGCCCCAGCGCCGATCCGAGAAATCCGCGCGGACCTCCGAGTCTTTATGTTTATGTCACTTTTTGTTCCCCTAAACGAACGTCGCCGATGCATCGGGGATGCATCGGCGATCGTTTATATGGGCGGCCCCTAACGGCATCGGGAACCGCGCGGAGTGCCTCCACCAGAGGGTGGGAGTCCTCCCGATCGCCACGCAAGTGCGAGGCCCGCCCTTTGAAGAGCCCATGCCTCCAAGGAGTCCTCCGAGGAGCAGCAGCAGCAGCAGCTGCAGCAGCATCGATGTTATCGGATGCTACTTTTTGCTTCTTTGGGCCGCAGGAGGCATCCAGGCACCTCCGGAGGCCTCCAGGAACCGCCGCACCTCCCGTTTCTGGAGGCCGTTATTCGGCCTCAGGACCGTGAGCGAAAGTTCTTGACGCTTCGCGTATCCCCACCAGTGTCCTCCGTTCCTGGGCCGGCTCTAATGAGGTTCATTTTGTCCCTCGCATGTGCATTGCGGCGTTGGCCTATGTGCTTTCGTTGCCAATCGTCTCGCTTGGCGCCCCTGTCGAGATTGACGCGCTCTCTGGAGTCGTCCTTTGAGCCGCAGATCAGAAAGTATCCCCACCAGTGCGGGCTGGTCACCTGCCGACGCTGTCTTGCGTCTCAATGAGGGGCATTTTGTCCCTGGCATGTGCATACGCCACTGCGGCCAATTTACATCGTACCGCGCCCCGGACGTTGTGCCCGCTCCTTGTCCCTCGCCTTGGAGCCGCGAACCAAAAAAGTATCCCCACTAGTCCGTAGCCTGGCTCAAGCCACTTCGAGCGACCAAGGCGAGGCCCTTGCTGGCCTCGGCCAGGCGGTCGTCCCTGCGCGCACTCCAGTCCTGGCCCCGCGGGCGGCCCACACCTTTCGGCGGTGATCCGCCCCGAGCCATGGCGATGGGCCAGGCTGCCCCGCCACCCGCCGCCAAGGGGCAGCAGCCGCAGGCGAAGCCGCGGCGGCGGCGCGCGCCGCCCAACGGGGGCGACCTCGGGCCAGGCATGCGCTGCCCCGTCGGCGGCGAGCTGCGCGCGGCAGGCGGCTTGGGGCCCTGGCGCTGGGCCTCTGCGGTCCCAGCGAGCTGTCGGGCCTGAAGAGGGAGCGCATGGAGCTTTCTGGGGCCATCCAACTGAAGCTGCCGCCAGCTGCGGACGCCATGGCCCCGGGCAGCGACGTCGCGCAGGTCCTCCGCGCGAAGATCCGCTCGAAGTGCTGGTCGCTGCTTGGCGCGGTCTCTGAGCACCCGAGGGTGGGCCACCCCGACATCGCCGAGCAGATCCTCTCCTTCCTGCTGGAGCCGGAGGCGCTGGTCCCCTCCGAGCAGGGTGGATGGATGCACCCGAGTACCGGTTCGGCGAATCTCGACCTCTTCTTTCAGACCGTGCCACAATCTTCGCCGCAGATCAACCACAGGCTGCACGAGCTGCTGGCGGCGGCGTGGGGCGAGTGTCCCGAGACGTGCATGCGGCAGGTGTTTATGGTCGGGGCCACCCGCGAGGGCAAGCAGGACAGGTACTCCTTCTACGACGCGCTGCTGTGGCTGTGGGACCGCCAGCCGGCGTCGGTGCTGGCCAACCTCCACTTGATGCCCGAGGTGAGCTACTGGAAGTCGCTCCTGGAACTCGTGGCCCGCGTCTGCGAGGGCCCGCGGCGCTCTCTGGAGCGCGACGTGGCGCAGGCAGAAGGCCTCAAGAAACGCACCGAGCCGGGGGCGGAGCGGGGTGCGCGCAGACGTTTCAGGCCTGGCTCCCGACTGGAGCGGGCCGAGGAGGCCTTAAAGAGGTACGACTCCGACCCGCTGTACCGCACCCTGCTCGAGAAGGTCGCCCGCCTGTTCGCCGAGCAGCTCCGCGAGGACCTGGAGACCATGAAGGCGGGAGGGCGCGTCGGGCTGCGCGCCAAGTGGTGCCCGTCTCTGTACCACTCGTTCGACCAGCGCACGCTCATCTGCGAGTCGATCGCAAGGTGGCTCTTCCCGCCCACGCTTCGGCAGCTGGAACATGCCTCGGAGCGCGAGTACGCCCACCGCGCGCGGGGAATGCTGCGCGGTGCGCTGGGCGAGCTCCGCGAGTACACGAAGTCACCCGAGAGGCTGATGTGCCAGCACCGGTGGCCCGAGATCAATTGCCAGGCGGTGCCGGCGTTGTGCATGCGGAACAACGCCGACAGGTTCGCGGAGCACGATGGCCCCCGCTTCCAGGTCCACCTGGACAAGCTCACGAGCGGCAAGGTGAAGGCGAACGTGGGGGCGCTCTTGCCGCACGAGCTGCTCGTCGAGTCCAGGGCGAGCGATCCCAAGCTCCCCGCCGAGCTCAACCAGGCCCAGTGGGAGTCGCTAGTTGCCAGGGTGAGGGGCAGCGGCGCTCTTGCAGGCTGCGTAGCCGCGTGCGATGTGTCTGGTTCCATGCAGTGCCAGGCGGGGCGCGACTCCACGTGCATGGACGTGGCGGTGGCTCTGCCCCTGCTCCTCGTTGAAGTGACTGAGAGGCCCTGCGCCCGCAAGCTGACCACCTTCCACGAGGACCCGTCCATCATCACCTTGCCTGCCGCAAGGAACCTGGCCAAGCTGGACCGCTTCGCGCGCCGCATGCCATGGGGCGGCTCGACGAACTTCTGCAAGGTCTTCGACCTCCTGCTCAGGATGGACCCCCCGCCCAAGCGCGTCTTCGTTTTCTCTGACATGCAGTTCTCCCAGGCGGCGAAGGGTGGCACTGACCTCCAGACCGCCAGGGAGCTGTTCCGGCGGGCGGGGAAGCCGCTGCCGGAGGTCGCGTTCTGGAACCTGGTTGGGAAAAGGGGCGCCCCGGCCACCGCGGGCGAGCAGGGCGTGGCTCTGGTGTCTGGGTTCTCGGCAGGGATGCTGCGCGTCTTACTCTTGGAGGGCGGGCCGCAGACGGTCTTGGAGGGCCTCGGGGTACTCGCGAAGGCGCTGGGCCGGCCGCTCCTGCGAAGGCCCAGGGTGGTCTTCACCGAGGCAGAGGCCGTCGACGTGTTCCGCTGCCCGCGCCAGGCAGCGCCCGAGCGGTGGGCAGTTGCGCGAGCGCTCGCGGGCGCGGGCCTGGCGGACGCGCCGATGCCGTAGTGCGGCGGCCGCTGGCGCACCGCCGCGGTCGCCGCGGGCACGCTGTCCTGCAAGGAGGCGGTGGCGGCCGTCATCGGCAAGTCTGGCGAGCGTGTGACTGCGCTGCGGGCGGCGCTGCAGGAGGCCCCGCGCGCCGAGCTGCGCGCGTGCCGGCGCGGCGTTCGCGCGTGGGTGGACGTGGAGGCGAGGCCGGAGCCAGCGCCGCGGTTCGAGTCTGGTATCGTGAAGCTCACGGTGTGCGCGCGCGTGGGCGCCGCGCGTTTGCCCGCTGCCCTGGAGCTGGCGGCGGGGAAGGTACGGGTGGCCGCGGGGGAGGCCGATCAGCGCGCGAGGCAGCAGAAGCCGCCGAGCCACGTGGAGAAGCTGGTCCGAATCGCGGACCGCGTGAGCAGCCAAGCTCTCTCGAAGCTGAGCGTGGGCGTGATGCAGCTGGTCAGCGCCGCCAGGCGCCTGGGCGGGGAGGCCTCCTCCGCACTGACCGGGCTGGAGGTGGAGCAGATCGCCAGCGCGCTCAAGCCGCTTCGCCAGAAGTGGCTCGCCGCCAGGTGGGAGCTGCCTGAGCCGGTCGACTTCGACCCGCGCGAGCCCGCCAGGGGCTGGACGAAGCACCACAGGGCCTCGCGCAGCGCCCTCCAGCTTCGCAGCGTGCGGCGGCGGATCCAGGAGAGGGCGGAGCGGAGCTACCGAGCGCGCGGTTGGCTGCTCGAGGAGGATGCGGCTTCCCCGCGGCGCGTTGGCAGGCCTGCACCCCTAGAAGACGGCGCCGCCGTTGGTGGGCGCGGGCGCGCACGCGGGCTCGGCGGCGACGCGAAGTTCCGGCCCAGATAGGGGGCCACATGCGAACCCTACCCCTGCCCCCCACGATTTCTGAGGGGGAGGGTGGGGTTCACTTCGCTCGGGTGCAGCAGGGGCGCGCCACCAGCGCAAGTTGGACGCAGGGCAGGGCCTGAAGGAGGGGCTGGGCGTCTGAGCGGCGGCAGGGCGCCCCGTCGGCGCACCACCTGCTTGCTGTCTCTTGTGGTTTGCACAGTGTACAGGCTCTTGCCCCCCGATTATGGGCTGCTTCTCTCGTGTGGCCAGAGGAGGGGAGGCTCACCACCTACCAAACCACCCCAACCCAACCCGAAGGCCTCAATTTCCCCTCCATTTCCAGTGGGGGGGGGGTCGGGGAACGTTGAAAAACACATGGAACCCGTACCCCCCCCAACCCGGAATTCGGGTCAAATTCGGGTCTTCGGGTTGGGTTGGGGTGGTTTGGTAGGTAGTCAGAGGCTCCCGCGCATCTCGCATGCCGACTCTGCGGTGCAGCAGCAGCAGCAGCAGCGGTCCAGCATTGTAGATCGGTTCTTGCCGAGCCAAGGGTGGACGGCCACGCTCGCAGTCGCGCCCTCGGTCGAGCTGTGATGGAGCTGTCGCTCTGGCGGAGGCACAGCCGTGCCCCTGAGGCATGCTTTGTACAGATTCGCGCAGCCAGTGCCGAGCACGTGGTGCTTGGAGCTAGCCGCAGAGCTTGCAGGGGCTTGCACCATTCCGCGGGTCCCCCCCCCCCAAAAAAAAGTATCCCCACCAGCCCATCCAGAAACGATGCCCAGGCGAGTTGCCTCTCAGAGTCTCCTCGGATGTCTCTTGGAAGTTTTTTGGTGGCCTCTTGGAACGTCTTGGAGGCCTCTTGGCGGTCCTGAGGGCCTCTTGGAGCGTCTTTGGTGCCGGAGCCTCTTGGGGCCTTGTGGGGGTCTCTTGGGAGCCTCTTGGAGGCCTTTTGGAGGCCTCTTGGGGCCTCCTGGGCGCTTCTTGGGGCCCTCCCCTCTCGAAAGCCCCAACAATCACCTATTGGGCCCCTCTTGGGGCGCTCTTGGAGCGCTTTTGGGGCTGTCTTGGGGCCCTCTTGGGCCTCTCTTGGGGCCCTCAGGGGCCCCCTTGGAGCTATCTTGAGGCCTCGGAAGGCCCTCAGAAGCGAAAAGGCGAGAAGGCAAAAGTCATTCATATTCCCCAGGTTGTTTCAGGATTTTGGCCTCTTGGCGGCCTCCTGGGGAGGCTCCGTGGCCACTTGGAGCTGTCTTGGAGCGGTCTTGGGGCTTCTTGGAGCATCTTGGGAGCCATCTTGGGCCGTCTTGGAAGCCATCTTGGAGCCATCTTGGGCCATCTTGGGCGCTCTAACCACCCGCGGCCCCCCTCCTTCCAGGCCCCAGGGGAGGGGGTCGGGGGAAGGGTAAACCCCTCCCCGAAGGGGACGAGGGAGGGGTTGGAAGAGAAACCGCCCAAGACCACCTACGCCCAGAGGGCTGATGGGATTACTCGGGATGGAAGGTTGGCCCAAGGGAAGGGTTCGAGAGCTCCAGGGGCTGGGGACTAACAAATCACATTATTTGCTTTTTGCTCAACGGATTTGCTTCGTCCTGATCGGGGCGGCCAGGGCTGCTGGTGCGAGGATGCCAGAGCGGAAGCACCTAAAGAAAGCCTTTGTACCACCAATCGTTCACGAAGCTGCCCTCCGGGCAAGCTGCTGTTGGACCTGCGCGGCCCGTAGACGCGTGGCAACAGCACGCGCAGACACTGCACCCCGCCCCGAGGGGTTGCAGCTGTCTTCTGCCCCCTTCTCCCTGGGATCCTGCGCCCCTCCGGGGCCCGCGACTCGGAGACTGCCAGAGGCTTGGCACCGCTCGGACGTGTGCATGTTTCCTTCGGCGAGGGCCGTCGAGGAGCATCCTTGATCGTTTGGCGACGAAAACGCCAGGCACGAAACCGAAAAAAACACAGGGAATGGACGTCCGAGCGATGGCTGGGAGGCGACCCTGCCATTTTGGCACCCCCGAGGGGGGGCAGCGCGGCTGGGCCGCCCGACCTCGCGCTCCCGCGCTGACGCGACGCCCCCGCTGCACGGGGTGTGCACCTCTTCCGGCCACGGGCCCACGGGGCGCAGTACGTGAGGATGTGTTCCGACGCGCCCGCGAACGACCTGGTGGCATCTGTCGGCGGCGAGCGAGGGGGGAAGCAAGAGGGAGAAGGCCTCCTCAGAAGGCGGCGGGGCTTCCGAGAAGCCCTCGCGCCTTCGGAGCAGCTTCCCGTGTCTCCGGGGAACGCCCAGAAAACTTCTCAGAAGGCTGGGGGATTTCCGAACCTTCTGAGGAGGCCCGCCCCTTCGCACTTCCCCCCCTGGCCCGCCGCCTGATCTGAGAAAACGGTACTGGAGCGTGTTCGCCGTTCTCGGGCCCTGGGGCAGTCAGGAAACGGCTCCTGAGCCCCGTGACAAGCGCTCGGAAGGCCATCTTGGCCTCCCCGGGCAACGTTTGGGCCACTCTGGGCCAGAGCCACCTCCGGCCGCACCCGACGAGGGGCAACGTTCGTGGGACAGGCTCGAGGGGGTATGCATCGACCCCCCCATCGCCGATCGATCGCCGATGGGGGCCCGATGGCCCACACAACGCCCAGGACCGTCATCGGGGGCCTGTCGCCGGTCCATCGGCGAGGTATCACCGACTCCATCTCGATGTTCCTCAGCCGCGCGCAGAGAGGGTCAGGGGGAGGGGGGAAGGCTTCTCAGAAGCACCCTGCTTCTCAGAAGGCGCGGGCATCACGTCTGTGGATAATTCCCCGGAGCCCTCCTTCTTCGCGGGCGCAGGCGGCTTCGCAGGCGAGGCAACCGCCCCAGCCTCGACGAGACAGCCCAAACGGTTAGCCCGAAACTCGAAGGTGCGCGGCGCCAAGTTTCCCCCCCGAGCCGGTCTCTCCGAATCGCTCCCCTCCTCAAGCAGCGGCGAAGCGTCCTGGTTTCCCTATAGGCCTACCCAAAAATGGTTATGATAACCTTCTGTGGTTTCCGCGACCTGCTCTTAGAACATTTCTGGCCGAGACCGTCCTGCTTTGACGCAGCGGGCATATGCTCTAAGAGCAGCGCTCCTGTTCCCGCAACACTCGGGAGGGGAAAAAGCACACAGACACAATTCATCGTCGACTCCCCGGAAAATATGGGAAATATGGTAAGTGGGGGGGAGGACGAAAACCCCAAAAATATAGGAACATCTAGGGAATTTGTTTATTTGTGTGTATTTATTTGTGTGTCCTGGGGCCCCTTCAAACACCGCTGGGTTCTGAGAGCATGCCGTGGTGGGCCTGCAGGGATGCCGGGACGGCCGGCCTCTGCTCGAAGCGATGGCGGCCGCCGGCGACCCCGAGGGCGCGCCCTGCCTGGCGCCCGGGGCCGCCCCGGCGGGCGGCGCGAGGCCGCGCCCGCAGGGCGCCCTGCTGGCCGCCGCAGCGCTGGCGGCCGCCGCCGCGCTCGCGGGCGCGCTCGCTCCCCGCGTCGCTGCCTGCCGGACCACCCCCGCCCAGCCCGAAGGCGTCAGTCGGGCCTGTCCCTCTACAGGGGGGAATTTTCAAAGATAGGCAACAGATGGTCTGGGGACGATGTTTCGAGCATTTGTGGATCATTTTGGGGCATTTTGGGAGTATTCTTCATATTTCGTCCAAGGTCCCTCTGTAGGAGGACAAGCCCGACTTAATCGAAGGCCCTCGGGTCAAGAGGCCACCCACCCCGAAGGCCCTCGGGTCAAGAGGCCATACATCAAGCAGTGGCGAAGCGTCCTGGCTCGACTATAGCCCTACCAAACAATGTTCTAAGAGCCTCTTGTGGTTCCCACGGAATGTGTTCTTAGGACATTTCTGGCTGGGAGTGTTTTGTTCCCAACCATCCTGTGGTGTTGGGTCCTCGTTTTGAAGAGACAGCGCCCCGCGTCCCACCTCCTCTCCTCCTCCTCCCCCTCCTCGCCCTCCTCCCTCCTCCCACTCCTTGCCTCTGCTCTCGGCACACCCCTCACACGTTTCGTAGCCCCATAGGGAGCTCCACCGAAGGTCCCAGTGGCACAGCCCGCATGCGGTTCCCCCACCCAGGGCAGCGTTTCGTAGCCCCATAGGGAGCTCCACCGAAGGTCCCAGTGGGGGTGCCCGCATGCGGTTCCCCCACCCAGGGCAGCGTTTCGTAGCCCCATAGGGAGCTCCACCGAAGGCCCCAGTGGGGGTGTTCGCATGCGGTTCCCCCACCCAGGGCAGCGTTTCGTAGCCCCATAGGGAGCTCCACCGAAGGCCCCAGTGGGGGTGTTCGCATGCGGTTCCCCCACCCAGGGCAGCGTTTCGTGGCCCCATAGGGAGCTCCACCGAAGGCCCCAGTGGGGGTGTTCGCATGCGGTTCCCCCACCCAGGGCAGCGTTTGGCCCCATAGGGAGCTCCACCGAAGGTCCCAGTGGCACAGCCCGCATGCGGTTCCCCCACCCAGGGCAGCGTTTCCATAGGGAGCTCCACCGAAGGCCCCAGTGGGGGTGTTCGCATGCGGTTCCCCCACCCAGGGCAGCGTTTCGTGGCCCCATAGGGAGCTCCACCGAAGGCCCCAGTGGGGGTGTTCGCATGCGGTTCCCCCACCCAGGGCAGCGTTTCGTGGCCCCATAGGGAGCTCCACCGAAGGCCCCAGTGGGGGTGTTCGCATGCGGTTCCCCCACCCAGGGCAGCGTTTCGTGGCCCCATAGGGAGCTCCACCGAAGGCCCCAGTGGGGGTGTTCGCATGCGGTTCCCCCACCCAGGGCAGCGTTTCGTAGCCCCATAGGGAGCTCCACCGAAGGCCCCAGTGGGGGTGTTCGCATGCGGTTCCCCCACCCAGGGCAGCGTTTCGTGGCCCCATAGGGAGCTCCACCGAAGGCCCCAGTGGGGGTGTTCGCATGCGGTTCCCCCACCCAGGGCAGCGTTTCGTGGCCCCATAGGGAGCTCCACCGAAGGCCCCAGTGGCCAGTTCGCATGCGCACCCCCCCACCCCCCCCACCCAGGGCGTTTCGTGGCCCCATAGGGGTTTCGTGAAGGTAGCGTGAAGGTCCCAGTGGCGCAGTTCGCATGCGTCCCCCCCCCACCCAGGGAGCGTTTCGTGGCGTATAGGTAGAAGGTCCCAGTGGCGCAGTTCGCATGCGTCCCCCCCCCACCCAGGGCAGCGTTTCGTGGCCCCATAGGGAGCTCCACCGAAGGTCCCAGTGGCGCAGTTCGCATGCGTCCCCCCCCCGCCCAGTACAGCGTTTCGTGGTCCCATACGGGGCTTCCCCGAATGCGATACCCACAACTGCATATGGTTGGGTCCTTCGCCAGGCTAATTTTAACACATCGGGTTAATGTTCTAAGAACACTGTTTTTGTTCTAAAAGCAATTTTGGGTTCTAAGATCATTTCGTATACGAATGCCGGGACGGTCGGTCCCTGCTCAAATACACGCCGGTCGCTGAAAGGAGGTATTTTCTGCGGATTCCCAGATCGAAATTTTCTTGGGGGTGCCTTCCTACTTCAAGGATTGACTGCTGTCCTCCTTCCCTCCTCTTCAGGTGGCGGGAGGAAGCCCAATCTAATTCCAACGCCTTCCTACTTCATGTTTCTACCCACTTCTTCCGACCGGCGTGTACGCCCATCTGGCGCGTGGGCGGGGAAAGGTAGGGCGCATCACGACGGTGAGGCAGAACATGCACGAGCGGCTGGGCGTCACGGCGTCGTGTCGTCACGCGGCTGCAGAGTCGCTGGTCTGCGTCAACGAATCCCGCAAACAAGCGGCACTGTTGCTTGTCTGCGACGCATTGGGACAGAACATAGCCCGATTCAAAGGAGCTTCGAACCCGAAGGCCCTAGAGACCCCCCAAATTTCGGGTTGGGGGCTGTATGGGTTCCATCGTGCCTTCTCAGTTTCGGTAGCAAATCATGGGAGCCTGGTATACCCTCTTAATTCCGTGTTTAGCGTCGATTAGCGTCGATTGGCGTCTGGGAGTCGATGAGATAGCGCCGATTTGGCATCGGTTAGCACCGATTTGCCTCGATTTAGCGTCGATTCGCGTCGATTTAGCGTCGACTAGCGCCGAGTCGCAGGAGCCGACAAGATGGTATGGGAGGCTCCCATGAGTTGCCACCGAGCTCAGTGTTCTGGAGTGCCCCCCCCCCCATCCAGAAGCTGACGAGCCCCACGGTGACTGCGGCACTATTGCTGCTTGGCTACGACGCATTGGGATAGCAGAATCCGACTCACAAGAACTTCGGATCCGATTTCGGGTTGGGGGGTGTAGAGGGTTCCATCGTGCTTCCTCGGTGTTCCGGAGTGCCCCCCCCCCCAACGGAAGCTGACGAGCCCACCGGTGGCTGTGGGTTGGGTCGGGGTGCTGTTTGGTAGGCAGTCGCCTCGTGGGCCCGCCGCGCCGCCCTGCCGCGGCGAGCGGGGGCAGGGCCAACTGCGGCGGCAGAGCACGGGAGACGCTGCATCCCCTCGCTGAGATCGTCTCCAGAGTGCAGCAGTCGAAGAAGACACAACGCCACAGACAGAAACTCTTGGCGCTCCGCGCGGATTTCTTGGATCCGCGCTGGGCCCCCCCGGCAGCGCCTCCGGCGCTGCCCTTGGCGCGCTCCGCGCGCCAGGGAGGGGGGTGCAGCGCAGATCCAAGGATTCCGCGCGGAGCGTCAAACATTTCTGTTTATGCCCGTTTCTTCTTTTTCCTCTTCGTTTTTTGTTTTGTCTTTTTTTATCCAAAGACTGTTGTGATTATCCGTCTTATTATTACGACTACTATTACAATTCGGGTCGACTAGCGTTTGTTAGTCGATGCGATACCGCCGATGCAGCGTCGACTAGCGCCGATTAAGCGTCGATTGAGCGTCGATTGGCGTCAATATCACAACAGCCAGTAAGACGGTATGGGATGCTCCCATGAGTTGCCACCGAAGGGTCAACCAGGGAGCCCCGTGCGTTATATCCTCGTCCTCACGAGGGGCGGAGAAGAACCACTGGCACACACAAACTCTTGGAGCGCCGCGCAGATCTCTTGGATCGGCGCTGGGATCCCCCTGGCGGCGCCCCCAGCGTCACCCCTGCGCGCGCCAGGGAGGGAGGTCCAGCGCCGATCCAAGAAATCCGCGCGGACCTCCGAGAAATTCTAAACGCTTCGCGTATCCCCAGCAGCCTGGCTCACTCTGTCAGCCGCCGGATGCGTTTTCTGAAGCTGCGACAGTTCGCTGGCGCTGTCAGAAATTCCCCTCTTTGCTGGACGACGTCAGCTACGCTTTCGGTCTGATCATACCCGACAGACACCCTGGGCTGACATTTTTTGCACGGAGATTGCTTCCCACCACCATGCGATTGTCGGTTGTCACGACCCATGACTGGGAATGTACGGCGCGCCATTTTGGCCGCGTCCGCTTTGCTTCCTGGGTGACTGACCCTTCAGACTCCCTGGGTTGCAGCTTGCACGACCGCCTGGCCTCTCAGACGCCCTGGGTTGCTGCTTGCACCGCCGCCTGATCCGCGGCCCCCGCGCGCGCCCGGGTAATTCGTCACGGCCGCAGCCCGACCGTGACCCCCCGCCGCCGGCGCTTCCGCCTGCGGCTGTAAAAAAGAAGTATCCCCAGCAACCGTCACGGGCGACTGGAGAGGCTGATCGCCTTGGTGGGCAAGTTTGTGACTACTGCCCACCATCACCCCACCGCTAAGACCGCCCATTGCCCCACCACTCACGCTGAGATGGAGAGCTTCCCCTTTAAGCTAAAGGCCCCTATGCTGGTCCTGGAGGAGATCGTGAAGCCGGCCGACATCGGCATCCTCTCACGGGCGGGATGCAGAATCTGTCTCCTGCACCGTGACCTCACAGGCAACGACAACGGCCTGGGGCTTAACGCCGGCCCCTTAGAGATGTCCCCTCCCCCTGGACAGACCGCTACCGCCTGCCCCACCCCGCAGCGTGACCAAGACCCCCTGCTACCTGGCCCCTGGCGACATTCGCTTCAGCGCAGACCGGAAATCGGCCAGGTACAAGTGTGGCTGCTGCTATAAGACTGGCCTCAATCACAAGGACGGCACTTGGCTTGACGACAATATCCGCTCGTATCTTGTACAGAACCGCCTGCAGGCGCACGCCAACGGGTTGGACTGCACATGGCTGCGCGTTCAGTGCTGGACACACGTGGTCGAGAAGGAAGGTCACCAGCTGTCCCCAGACCATTCTCTCAACGAGAAGGTGCAGGCCGTTGCACTCGCCAAGAACCCATCCAGGCCCCCTCCCGTGGACACACTACCCCCTACCGCCTCCCAGCGCACGCTCTCGGCGCTTCCCCTCGCAGCGACCCCAGGCGACCAAGGCGATTTCCTTCGGGAGCCGTCAGGCCTCCATGTCCCAAAGAATGCCAGCACCACCTTACCGCCCACGCGGCTAGAGGACGACAGTTTTGGGTATATGGCAGCGGAATCCAAGCGCTACACCGCCCCGTGCGACGGGTGCCCACCCGGTGCCCCCCCCCTCTCTCCTGGCAGGCAGGTGCGCCTGCGCT